GTTAAGCAATTGTATTCCTCTCAAGGTTATTAAGATTTCAATTTTGACACTTATCTCTCTTCTTCACATATGTTTGTTTGTCTTTTTTTTTTGTGTGATTTCCTTTCGAAAGTTGCACAACTTTTCTACCGCCTTCACGACTCATCAAACTCATTGATAAAAATGTACAGAGAATCAAATAAGTTTCGGAACAAAGAAAACATCAACTATGAAGATGGAGTGACATTATGGTTCTCCACCTGTATTCTAGTCTTCTAGAACACTTCCGCAACAATCACCAAAGCGCTTCATTTCAGTTTTCTATTGTTCAAATTCCAAACTTTTTAAAAAATCATTCAGTTTTCAAAACGTTATTTTATTTGAATAAGTTTTACATTCAATCAAATTAAAAAAAAAAAAACTTGCACAGCTTATTTTTTAAAACTTCACAACTCGGTTCCCGGTCGAATGCCACATAAATATATATATATATATATATTTATGAAGCGAAGCACGTGCACGGAATCTAATCATACGGCTGCTATAATCTACAAAGTGCTAATTACAATTCGACCCCAAATATTTCGCAAAACATTGAGAAAACCCCTAATTAATTTTTGATACCAGCATAGCCCGAAGCTGCTCTTGCGTGTAGATTTTCAATCGCATCTTCACAGTCGCTTGTTGAATCATAAGATCGTCAATCACTGAAATGATCGCGTGATTAACTTCTACCTCCAAATCCATAAACGCATTCATTAATCTCGCTTCACGATGATTTCTCTTGCTCGATTCCACTCTAATCATCGCGTCGTCGCAACCTATAACCTTCACATCAATTTTTGTCGTCCCAATCTCTGATGCGTTTCTCAACCCCTTGGAAATAGCGTTTCATCCCCGGACCTCCTCCTTGAGTTTATTTAGTTGGATCTGAATCGCATTTTTCTCCAATTCGGCGTTTTCAAAGCATCAGAGATAAACGATTTTAGCTCGTTTATGTAACAAATCGCGTCTTCAAGCAATGACGCTTTGTCCGTCCTCGATACGTTGGCACAACCGCTCTTAACGCATATAATAGCTGGTTTATCTTATCACCTCTCAACTGCTCTGCTTCGACAAGATTTATCGGCTCCCGTTCGCCAGTTTTCGTCCACGTTTCTTTTGCCGTTTGTTTACGCACACCATTGTAGATTCGATGTTAGAGTGATCAGAACCATAGATTTTTCCGGCGGCGGCAGCTAAGAGATCACCGTCCTCGTTTTGTATCTAACCGATATCAGCATTACGATTCAAATTTCCTGGACTCCGCTTAATATCGTTGCCGAAACTCAGTATTTCGCCGGAAAGAGCTCCCGCCGACGATTTGGAAGTCACCATCGTCAAATTCAATTCCGAGGAAAAGCTATTCTGGATCTGGGGATAAATCGGATTCGGATCCGGTTTTGGGTACTGAGTTGAGTTGAGAAAAGCTTCGATTACGAATTCGGAGCTCCGGAAAAATCTTGGATACTTTCGCAATTAAAAAGGAATCGGACCTTATTAAACAGATCCGAGTTTTCTCGGATCTCCGCTTTGGATCCAAGCTCCAACACTCCGTTATCCAAAGGAATACACACGATGGTTTGTAACCCTAAACCCGCACCCTGCTTGGCCCGGTCACAACCCGACTCGTTAATCTCATCAGACCCGGTAAACCAAACCGGGTTATACGTAGCAAACGCCTTATGGACAAGTTATCGTTGGTATTTAAATGATTCATCGTCTATTAATCTTTATTTTTTAAAAAGAAAAGTATTTTGCATGGGAAAAATAATAGTTTGCATGGTTTGTATTTATAAACGAAGAGAGTAAAGAGCAACCGACAAAATGTTAAATGCCTACGATAGTAACCGACAAAATGCCTACGAGAGACAAGTCAACTTCACTCCTAATGTACGCGCAAGATGCTTGATGTGATAACTATTTATACCTTTCATATTGAAGTACTGTATATATTTTCTCTTTTAAATTGGAACTAAAAAGTGAAAATTAAAGATTATTTCGGAAAAAGGTATTTTAAAAACACAAAACTTTGCAACGTTACCTATCGAGGAAAATGAAACTGAAGTATGATCGAAAAAAAGAAGACAAGAAGAAGGATTGAAAAAACATCTATTATGTAGATCGAAAGTTGTTTTATCCGGCAACCCAGAAAAAAAAAATTATTTCTCTAAAGATTTAGAGGAAGCCTGAACAAAGACAGTTCTCAACGTTTGAGATTCGACGCTCAACTAACAAACTTGGATCTAGCACAAAGACTGGACTACACTAACTAGCAAAGCTTAGGAGGACTACTAATTCAATCAACATCCTCCTCCCGATGTTGGCGCACATAGCCAAGCGACAACAAGCTTAGATAACGTTACCTCACCTAATTCGCCATATAAAATCTGTAAATTAACATTCGTTCTCACCAAATAAATTGCGACTTAAATATGATTCTAAAGCTAAAAGCATAAAGCTTTGTCAACATAAAATGTGTCGTCCATTGATGTTAATCTGTATTTCCTTCACGAATTAGGAATCCTTCGTATAAAATGCTACATCTTCGACTTCGATTGAACCGTGTTCAAGCACTATGTGTAGACCATTTAGTCACTTAAATATGATTCTAAACCTAAAAGCATAAAGCTTTGTCAACTAAACTTTACTTTCGAAGCTTAAGTTACAACGACTACAACAACAAAATATGAACCTACGACAAATACCTTATATGTATCACAGTTGAAAGTTTACAATCTTGAATCAGCAATCGCAACAGAACTAATCACACATCTATTGCCTATAATTGTAATTATATTTTGTGCTTATAAAATTTTGATTGTAGACCAGGACAATATATCTTGTACATAGTGGTCTGTGATAATTTCATACTGCATCAGTGCATCTGCGCATGTCTGCTCTCTGCTGTCTGCATCACAGTCCAGATATGCATTATTGAATATAAAACCTTTAATTATATTTTTAAACTCGGCCAATGGTCAAAAAGACAAATTGTAAAAAGACAAACAGTGTACCTGTAACGTGTTACGTGCCTATACGATGACAGTTCATATATCTATTTAATTTAAGTTATTACTATAGTACATTATAGATTGCTACTCCATATGTCGTCATCTCTATTAGCTTTCGAAAACTAATAACGCACGTGATGAAATTGTCCTCCACAAAAGGATGTGTCCGATTACAGAAATTATCGTCGCTTTCTTATTTGGGATCCTTAACTATGGTTCAAATCACACTCTTCGACTGTTACATCCACATGTCTTTGCAAATAATATAACTTTTTCCCCGACAACAATATAAATGACTTATGAAAAATATTTGGTTGACGGTAGACAAAAAAACTAAATTTATCATTTTTTTATCAACAATCTATATATTTAAATTAAGTTTCGGTTCTCAAAAGATGATCTTGTAGAACAATCTCTAGAGATTTATGTATAACTTACCTGGGAGAATAACAAACTTTTGTGTCTGAGCCTTTTTTTAAGAAAACCGACACAAACATTTTAAGAACGTCGAGGGATAAAGGGTAAGCTATACTTCTTAATACGTCTCTAAGAATTTTATAAGAATTTTAAGACCAAACCTTTTTGTGTAATTTTTATACCTGATTGATTGCAAAAAAGGCATTGTATTGCTGACCTCCCACCCTAGAGATGTTCAAAAAAGGAGAACCAAGAAAGATTATCGAGTCCATTTGAACAAAACCTTCACATTCTATATTAAAGCATCCTCTGTCAAAGTCGTCTGGCTGTGCAAAACATTTCGTGGTTACAGAAGAGAAACTATATAGATAGTCTGAAGAAGAAACAAAAACCCAACTTTATTGTAATAGATAATTAGCGGCAATATTGTTACTCACACTCCAGTATGTAGTAAGTCTTGGTACGATGATCGCCATGTAAATATAATACAGGATCCACCTAGAAATCAAGATTAACATACTATTAGTAACACTCCGTTTTAGGTGGATACATGTACCTTATGTATTTTAAATCAGGCTTCTCGAATTGATCTGACTCTACCAGTAAAATACCAATCGGTTAAATGGTAAATATTCTTGGGTGAACTTAAAACAAAAGAGAATTCATCGATCATCGATGTAATTATGACAAAGAGAATTTGTCATGACTTGATTTATATTATATATGTAACATTAATGAAATGCTGTGAATAATTATATAATTTAAATATCTATTTAAAAAGAAATACACAAATACGTACGTGTATATTGTGTTTCATATGATCTTTTGGCTAAGTCTTCCTCTTCTCTTCTCTTTTCTATCTTCAATATCAACATAGTCGGTCCTATGCTAAAACCTAACAAACAAATGCTTTAAACGTCAAATATATCAAGAACTTTAAAAGCATCATATTTTAGGAGTTGGAAATGGTGTAGTGGTTTGGTTTGGGTGAAATGTCTTCTGTGTGTCTGGACCGAACCATTAACTTGCAGTTTTTGATCTTTTTCACCAAAAAAATGTTTTCTAGGGGACGAATTTCTTTTGTTGGTTGCTTTAGACAAAAAAAAACAAAAACAGAACAATTCTAAGCAGGCTTGAATACCTATGATACATATATACCGTATCTAAACCTATAAACTCCGGTATCCGTTCAGACTCATTTCAAAATCAAAAATGAATTGAACCAGAAAAATTAATATCCACAATATCCTTTTTTCTAACCCTATTTAACAAAGAAATATTCGAGTTCTTGGGTTAGAAAATTACTATATTCGAGTTCCACCATCTACCAAAATACTGTAGTTTTTTTTACTTTTGCAATTGAGGACACCTTGGCTTAAATTGTAAGAAAACTAATTTTGTTATACAAAGAAAAACAAAAATCTCAAAATATCTGACCCGATATGGCTGATTTGACTAAAGACGTACCTACCTATTAGGCTTGATCGAATTTCTGACCAGCCAGCCAATTTGACATGTTTATTGAGATTCGAAAGACCAAAAAAAAAACTCATCTTCACTTTTCACCAACCGAAAAAACAAAACGCTTTTAAAAAAAATACAAAAAAAGAAAAAAAAAACCTCTGTCTATGCACAGCTCCATCCTTTGTGGCGTAGAGAGCAGATTGAGTGTATAAACCTTTTATGTCCACTTAAAGTTCTTTCTTTTGTATTTTATCTGATCACTTGTTTGTGTCTCTGATTCCATCCCGTGAATTCGCATCTGGATTTGTTTTTGTTTTAAAAAGATTTCTGAGATCCATTCAATATCGATTGCCATTTCTCTCACCAACCCTGGTAAGCAAACAATCTAATCACTTTCGATTGGTATTCGATCTGATTTCACTCATGTTTTCTGAATCTTCCAAATTGACGTTATTTGGAATGCATTAGAGTTCTGAGGATGTAAAGATTTCGACTTTATCAGAGAAAATTCAAATTTCTGAGGAAAAATTAGATCTTTTTAGTATCTGAATTTGTAGATTTTCCGTTTTTTTTTGTAAACCCTTATCTCATTGTCTTCTGAATCCCCATTTTCGGGAATGATTAGATTAAATTAGAGTTCTGGGATTACAAGTTTCCAACTTTTTCGGGGTTTACAAAAATCCAACTTTCTGATGAAATCTCTTATAATCCCAAGTGGGTTAATGTTCTGGTTACACCAAGCTCGTTCAAGTGGTTTAGGTCGAAAGTCAATCTTGACGGATTCTTCATTCACAAAAAGTTTTGATTTTTGGTTGGTCCTGAGATATTTGGTTGAGCTCGTTAGCTCAAAAGTTAATCCTGAAAGATTCTTCATTAACACAAGCTTTGATTTTGGTTGATTCGGAGAAATTTGATTGGTTTAAGTGGTTTAGCTCAATAGTTAATCTCGAAAGATTCTTCATTAACACAGATTCTGATTTTGGTTGATTCTGAGAGATTTGGTTGATTCAAGTGGTTTATGTCATAAGTCAATCTCAAGGATTCTTTCATTTAACAAAAAAAAAAAGTTTTGATTTTGATTGATTCTGAGAACTTTGTTTGATTTTTGTTTTGGTTTCTTGGAGATGGCGGATGCGGCAAAAGATTTAGCTTCAGGGACTGTTGGAGGAGCGGCTCAACTAATTGTAGGTCATCCATTTGACACAATCAAGGTCAAACTTCAGAGCCAACCAGCTCCAACACCAGGACAACCACCAAGGTACACAGGTGCAATCGATGCGGTTAAACAGACCGTTGCTTCTGAAGGACCTAAAGGTTTGTACAAAGGCATGGGAGCTCCTCTCGCCACCGTCGCTGCCTTCAATGCTGTTCTCTTCACCGTGAGAGGTCAAATGGAAAGTCTGCTTAGATCTGACCCTGGAGTTCCATTGACCATTAGTCAACAGTTTGTGTGCGGCGCAGGCGCTGGTTTCGCAGTCTCTTTCCTTGCTTGTCCCACCGAGTTGATCAAATGCAGGTCAGCTTCTTTTGTAATGAGCAAACAGAGCTAAAAGATGTATCTTTGTGTTCAATTCTTGTTTTTGGTATTAGGTTGCAAGCACAAGGTGGTGCACTAGCCAGCGCTTCTTCTACCACAGGCTCAGTGGTTGCGGCTGTGAAATACGGTGGACCAATGGACGTAGCCCGTCATGTCCTACGATCAGAAGGAGGTGCACGAGGTCTGTTCAAAGGCTTGTTTCCGACATTTGCTCGTGAAGTCCCTGGAAACGCAACAATGTTTGGAGTCTACGAAGGTTTCAAGCGGTTCTTGGCTGGTGGTTCAGACACTTCGAGTTTAGGACAAGGATCTTTGATCATGGCTGGTGGTGTCGCTGGTGCTTCCTTTTGGGGGATTGTGTACCCGACCGATGTGGTGAAGAGTGTTCTTCAAGTTGATGATTATAAGAACCCTAGATACTCGGGCTCGATGGATGCTTTTAGGAAGATTCTGAAAGCTGAAGGAGTTAAAGGTTTGTATAAAGGGTTTGGTCCTGCCATGGCTAGGAGTGTTCCTGCAAATGCTGCTTGTTTCTTGGCTTATGAGATGACAAGGTCAAGCTTGGGTTAAACCGGTTTGGTTTGGTTTGGTTTTTAACTGTTGTTCCGATTTGTGGATGTTCCATTGATCCTTGATCTTTCGGTTTTTAGTTGATTCTTTTAAAGTTTCAGCAAAAATTATGTAACTCTTTACACAATTATATTTCAAAGTGCCGATTTAACAGATCTAAGTGAGGAGTGAAGTGTGAACATATTAGCCAAACCGATTTAAACCGAACCAAAATGGCATCTATTAGAAATCAGTTATATTTTTATTAGACAAAAAAAAAACGAATCGAATGTAACCGAACTAGATCAACCCAAACCGAATTAACCGTATTGAACTAACTGAACCAAACCGAGATCATTTTGGCTAAAGTTGCAACTGAACTAACTAAACAAAACAAATATCCAAACAAAAAAAAAAGTGAAATGTCCCACTCCTAATTTTTTCGTTATTCACTATGCCCTACCCCGAATTAAATAGGAGAATAATGAAAATAGTCTAAGAAAGTAATCTAATTTTTTATTTATCAATTAGTAAATCTAAAATTTAAACTCCAAATTCTAAACCGTAAATCCTAAAACAACACTCAAAGGTATACAAATCATATTTTTAATTTTTTCGTTTGACCATATTTTTTTATTTTTGTAATTATATATTTATTTAATCTTTTTTTCAGTTCACATGTTTTTTCTTTCTTTTGCATATCGACTCGGTGTGGTATTTGTTCCGTAAAACCCTCGACTAATACGAGCCAGTCTTAGTAAAACGTATTTTTAACATGGTCTGGGCCATTGAAGGCCATAAGCCCATTGAAAATATGTCACGTGGCGGATAACTAACTAGCGTATGACTAGTGCTTGGACAGTAGAGTGTCAACAGGAAAAAAAGGAGGGAACTCAACAACCACTTTTTCTTTTATCTTCTTACATTTTGTTATTATTTATATCTTTTTTTTTTACTATAAAAACCAAAAACTAATATCATAGTTCGAGGGGAAAAAAGTTAACAAGTCTAATGGAGACGATGGAGCAACAAAGACATTCTCTCTCTTCTTTGCCTATGCTCTCTAGGCTTGATCATTTGGATTTCGTTGTAAATTGTTTTTTTCTAACCTTTGAAATTTAAAATTAGTATACAATATGTTGATGAACTTGATTTTAATTATATTCTTACTAGTTACTAATTGTTCTTTTATGTTTCTTCGTGTTGTGCATGTAGATAAAGAATTTAGAAAGACAACAAAACCTTCCGAAATGGAAAGATGAAAGTGCAGCTACCACACGTGCGTTAATCGATAGAGGCACAGCGGTTAGAGAAGCTTATTTCAAAGGATCGTTGCTAGATCGAATCGCGGCTTTGGAGACTAGACTTTTTCAGGTATATATGGATGGTTTCACTGTAGCTAGATTTTAGACAAAAGTTCTTTTGTGAGGTTAGTTGTATATTGTTTTGACGGGTTTTTTGTATAATGTTTAAAAGATATGTTTGGAGTTGGAATCGAGCAGTGCATCTTCTACTTCAACTGGAGGGTCCGGTGAAACATCAAGCCAAAGGATTAAGAAAGATTTGACAAAGGCATTACCCATTTTCACTAGCAACATCAATCCTTTTCATATCCCCTTACAACATCCAAAAGACCCTCGGGTACATGTATTTTATTTGTTGTATTTTTTTAATATAGAGTTAAAAAAAATTCACTAATGTATTACAAAAATAACATATGGTGAATGATATTCATGATTAAAATATGTCATCTCATAACTGTATCAATCTGTCTAACATTTTTTTGGGTAGCAGTAGCATATCGTTTTTTGTAGCTTTCATAACAATTAAAAACTTAATGAATCTATTCATTGTGATTTAACATGTTATTTTAACGTGTAGGAAATGGAAGACAAGATTGAAGAAGAGAAAGAGGAAGAGATAAATATCGAGAAACCATTATTGGAGACGAAGAAGGAGAAAAAGGATGCTAATGAAACTTGCAAACCAAAGAAAAAGAAGACAAAATCTCCCAAGAAATGGTCTCGATTAAATTTATTGGGTTGCTAATTTCAGTTTGTTGTTGTTTGCACTATGCATGATTTCATCTTTCGTTTTAAACCTAAGTTTTTTTTCGTGACAACTCTGCGATATTTTATCTGCCAATTTAGGACTAATCAATTTTTGCTTAACATATTGTTGATGGATTCAGTAAACATGATTATCTAGTGTCTTTGCCTATAATGCAGGTATAATATGGCAGTAGGCCAGTAGATAGGAATAGGAGTTACAAATTTGTAGTAATTTACATAAACTGATTATATATATATATATATATATGCTCTAATGCTCATATGTAAGCCAAAATATGTACTATATCATTATTAAAAAATTTACATCATATTACCTTTAGGATGTACTATAAAGCAACTTCCCCCCCAAAAAATACAAACCTGTGGCTGTAGATATATGTATAACTGTATATTCCACTACGTTTATTTGTTTATATATATTTTTTTACATGTACATCCCATTATATAACTTGGTCAGTGGATTCTTTAAAATTAAAATATTATATTTGGAAATCTTTCAAGCAAAATTTTAGAATAAAAAAGTTCGCAATGATCAGAATCAATATTTTTTTATATATAACATGATCAGAATCAATATTATTCGACAAAATTGACTTTTTGATGATACATTTATTATATCTATAATATTGCTAAAGAATATATATATATATATAACAATCTATTCATATATATATATATGAAGTATTTTCTAACTTTAACTTTAGGAAAGGTTAATGTCATCAAATAATTTAATCATTACAGTTTGAGTCAGCTCCATTTCATTGTCTACCAGAATATATTCTCCTTCTAATTAAAATTTCTAAATACAGGAAAATGCATTTAGCGTAATAAAATTTAGAGATATCGATTATGATATATATGAGAGGAATCGATTTTGGTATTATGATTGGTCAATAAGCCATAACGTAGTTCTGCATTTTTTTTTTTTTTTAATGTAGAAATTGGCATATGATTTCAAGTGTGTTGGAGGTTGTAGAAAACGGAATAGATTGAAAAAACGGAATATGACCGTAAGTCAATTCGCAATTAATTAAGAGAAAACGATGTCGCAGTTTTCTAATCTACTTCATAATGTTGATTAATTAACTGTTTCCGATGGGGGACAAACTAAAATAACAAAATACATATACACTTTAAACAAAAATAACCAAATGGAATCGGAGATAGATAAAAGGTAATAAAACGACATGGAATCGATCAAAGACACTATAACAAAATCAAGTTTATGAGTAAATAATATTAAATCATCAAAATCAATATATTTTTAGTGGTTAAAAGTGTATGTGTACGTATGTATACAAAATATCGGTGTTCAAAAAATCGGCCAAGTCGGTGCCTAGGCGGCTGTTCGGGATTAGTCGACCCAATTTTCATAAAATCAGTGAAGTAAATCTGATTTAGTAATAAATTGGAATAAATCAGAAAAAAAATTGGAAAAATTAGACCAAATCTATCAAATCTATCAAATCATACTAATTATTTTTATTTTAATCAATTTTTATAGTTTTGGATGGTAAACCAACATTGATTTACAAAAAGTAAAAAAAAAAAGAGATTTAAAACGTTTGTTTAGGGTTAATAACTTAATATAATCATCTCTACTACTCCACCGTCGTTTATCTTATCTATATATATAAAGTAAAAAGTTTTCTCTTCTCATGATGTCACATCATTTTCTCAAACTCTAAAATTTTGACACATCATCAATTCATTTATTAATTTATAATTTATTATATTTTGTGTTATTATACTTTAATTCTCATAGTAACTATCATCCATTAATATAACAAGAATATGAATAGACACTCTTTATATATAATAATTTATATATTAATGTATTTAGTCATTATTATTTTAAATTATTTATTTTATTTATATGATTCAAAAATATGTATAGTAAAACATAAAATTTTAAGATACCCAGATTTGGATCCAGTTTTGTGAAATCTGAAAAACAAATTCTCGGATCCAAATTTTTTAATATCTAAAAATATCCAAATTCGTTTTAAAACCCATATAAAACACTAGAATATAACAAAAGACATAAATTTGAAGAAAATTAGAATAATAAATTATAAAATTAAAATACATATAGACGGGTTAGGAATATTTGCACGAGTTTCAAAAAGCTCAAGTGACAATTATATCATTTTCTATTTTAATTATTTTTGTTATTTGTAATAGAATATCATGTAATAATTTACAAAATAAAATTTATTTGTTGAAATGACTACTTAAATAATAATATAGAGAGTGAGAATGCATATTTGTGAAACAAATTGTGGTATTACAAAATGTTAACATGTTCAACCTAATCTTTGAAACATAAAATAGGTGAAGTTCCCCTTAAAAAATTATACAGAACTCAGGTTAGAGATGTGACATTGAGAGTGACTAGAAAAAACAGAAATCTGAGAAAAATAGAAATTTCAACCGGTCCAATATGTTGTATGTGGTTCAACATGTTGCATTGATGAGAGAGAGAACATGAGAGGGAAAAGGAGAGTAAGAGGGAAAATGATAGTGGGAGGGAAAGGGAGAGAGAGAGGGAGATGGAGAATGAGAGGGAGAGGGAGATGGAGAGGGAAATGGGTGTAAAAAATAAATTATGAATATATTTTGAAAATATGTTAGGGAATTGAGATATTTTTAAATAATTAATTGCCTCTTACATATATTTTTTTCCTGAATGCAACAATTAAGAATTGTATATGTTCCAAAATCATAAACCCGCATAAATATAAATATATCTATAAACTAAATTGATTTAAAGTTTTAATTAATATATTATTTGATTATTTTTAAAATGTTTTATATAAAATATAAAATACAATAAGTATATATAAAAAATTAAAATACAAAATCTAATGAAAAAAATTGATATTGTAGAGTTTTTTCTTAAATATGTCAATAAATACAATACAAAATTCTGCGCGAAACGCGGATCACCCCTAGTTTCTTCATAAATTTTTGCTGAAGAATCGTTAGTCGATCCATTTCAAATCAATGAATTATCTAATGGGCATCCAACTTACCAAACCCAAAGTGATAAGCCTAGCGGAGATATTGATTCCGACGATGGAAATGATATAGCCATTGATTTTGAATTTGAGTTTAAAAATAAGCAGGTGGTGGATATGGATGTGTTTGAATTAGATAGATTTCTCTTTGCAGAATTTGATGATTTTTAGTTTAGTTTTTATGTTAAAATTTATTCTATAATCTATTTATCAAATTTTCTTATTTTTTATTAAAACATAAATTTTGATAAAATAATTTTCAAATAAATGATTATTTTTTAAAAAAAAATATGATATATAAATAAAAATTTATAAAAATTAATAAAAATTAATAAAAATTCCGTTAACGCCTAGACTCAACCTAGTCTCAATCTAGTCTCCGATTAATCTGCTTAAGCGCTACTCTATACGCCTAGCTATCGATTAGCGATTTTTTTAACATTGCAAAATACAATGGACATTCAAATTAAATGTCCGGAGACGCCAAGAATACAGCTGGCAATGTCTTATGGTTATAACTTGTACCTACCGTATCTCTTTCGATTCTACTTCTTACGTACCAATTGATTAATTTCGTTTTATCAAATACAAAATAAAGAATACTGAAGAATAAAATTGTCAATTGATGCTAAATTGCTTAAATTATACTAGGGAGGGACTATATTGTTTCGTTTCTGAAAAATATAGTAATCAACAAATAAAAGTCCAAAATATTTAGTGGCAAATGACATTTATGTGGTAACCAATATTTTCTTAATTAAAAGAAAAAAAACTCAACTGACTCAATTTCCATATTTACCCTCATCTTTCTCAACGATTTATAGTTTTACCTTTCTTCCTCTTTTCAAAATTCAACTTCTCTTGGTACGACCTCAAATCGGGAAGCAGATTTAAATCCCACATCAATGGCGGACTCAGAGCCAATACGAGAAGGAGAAGTAGAAGACGAAACCCAAACAATCTCTACACTCCATCACCAAATGATTCCTTCCGAGTTGACTCACGACGAGTTCACTGAGCTATCCGACTCAATCGCCGAGTTCCACACCTACCAACTCGGTCCGGGACGATGCTCTTCACTCCTCTCTCAACGCGTCAAATCTCCGCCGGAAACCGTCTGGTCCGTCGTGAGACGCTTCGATCGGCCTCAGATTTACAAACACTTCATCAAAAGCTGCTCCGTCGAGGAAGGATTCGAGATGCGTGTGGGCTGCACGCGCGACGTGACGGTGATCAGTGGACTTCCGGCGAACACGTCGAGGGAGAGACTCGATCTCCTCGACGACGATCGGAGAGTGACTGGGTTTAGCATCACCGGAGGCGAACACAGGCTGAGGAATTACAAATCGGTGACGACGGTTCATAGATTCGAGAGAGATGGACGGATCTGGACCATTGTTCTTGAATCGTACGTCGTTGATGTGCCGGAAGGAAACACGGAGGAGGATACGCGTTTGTTCGCCGATACTGTGATTAAACTGAATCTGCAGAAACTCGCGTCGATCACTGAAGCTATGAATCGTGATTCCGGCGACGGTGGAAACTCTCTCAGGTGAAGTGAAAAAAAAAATGAACACGACAAACAAAACACAAATTGGGGAATTTTTCTTCTTCTTCTTCTTTTTAATTTTTCATTTTTTTTTCCTTTGTAAAACAATTTATTTTCTTTCCTGAATTGTAATATTTGCTCGTTTAATGGTGGTTATATTCCGTTTTTTACCTCATCGTTTTTGTCGAGTCTCCTGGATATTTGGAATTTGGAATGTTCGATAAGTTTAAAATGAATCCAATGTCTACATCACGAAATTAGGGATGGTGTCGTATTATTTCCGTTTCAATATAATTTTGTTTATAAACAAACAGAAGCTGAAACACAATTTTTAAAATTAATATTTGTAATACGTGAAATGGCGAAATTATTTTGCAATTCGTCAAATATTTAGCATGGTTTATACCATTTAACGAAGACAACAAACAATCATCCGTAGGCCGTAGCTGCATTAAAATTTTGAATTAATAATTCTGGTTTTCTATTTTCGTTTTTTTTTCAATTTCCATAGTCGACAATATTGTATTTTTTTGGACTCAATTTTAGGAGAGGAGAAGGGGTTTGAATGACGAATGAGCCCATTAACATCACAAAGTTGGAATCGGATTATGAGATTTTTTTTTATTTTTCCTCTCATTTTAAATTTACGGTCGTAAACTTTTTACTAACGTAAATATGCATAATTATGGATGTAGAGAAATTCGAAGCAAAAGTGACAAATGAGGATATGCTCTCTCGTATTATTCCATTAGGGAAAGAGACAAATCTAGTGGGTACTGCAAGTTGCCCAACTTGGTTAATAAAAGAAAAAGAAAGTCAGAAAGTGAAATTTTATTTGATTAGAAAATAGAAAACAAAACAAAAGTGAAAATTCAAAGGGTCCAGACTTTAATGACGGTAAACCAATCAGAAGACAGGATTTTTTAGCACCACGACTTTAATGATTACCACTAAACTTCTATTATGAGAATGGGGTACCTACTGTTTGAAAATCCATTTCTTAATTATCAATCATATTGCCTGAGTTTTTTTTTTTTTTTGTCTCAGTTTACAATCTTTCTGAGGTAGTTTTGGTACTAATTTGTAATATTTTTACAACTTATGAGTAGTTGGTATTCTTAATATACTCCAGACCTTTACATACTCGTAAGAAAAATTAAGAATAAACTCAACATTTAGATACAAAAACTAATTTTCAAAAACCAACCACATTTAGATACAAAAACTAATTTCCAATACATAAACGAAATGAGCAAATGTTTATTGTTCTTTCTACTATTTGATGTTACATTGCGCTTGTGCTTACTAGTTGGCAAAGTTTCATCAAAAGAAAGCTATTGATTTTTCCACAGTGGACTGAGTAACGGGAAGAAAAATCCCGGTGATGGAGGAGGTAGCGATTCACTCTCGCCGTAAAACCGCGGCGAAAATGCAAAATTGGGTGATAACAACGGAAATGAGGATCTTGGCGGTGGTGACAAAGCAAATTGTGAAGCTGGAGACTGAAAAAACATTGGATTAGGACCGGTTTGATGAGAAAGAAATGAACTGGTTGATGATCGAACCGGGTTTTGGTTTTGTAGCTGAGGTCGGTTTGCAACAGGGCTTGATTCGATTAAGTAACGCATATAAGCCGAAATTGGAGATTCAGCTGGATTAATTGAAAATTGGTTAACAGTCTGAACCGGTTGAGAGACCATTGGATCTGATTGAATCGGAGGAGGAGGTGGAGGGCGGTTGACTTGAGTTAAAGGAGCCGGTCTAACTTTGACCAATCTTGAATTTGGAGGTTTTGGTGGGTTTGGGTTTGTTGACTGTGGAAGATTGACTGAAGAAGTTGAGCCAAGTCCGGTTAACTGCTGAACAATGGACCTGAAATCGGTTTTGTTGATATTATAAACCAACGCTTGAGGATTTTGTTGTTGATTTTGCTGGGTTGGTGGATCTTTACGGATGTTTCTTCCTATCTTATTCACACCTAGATGGTGATGATGATTATCATTATTATGATGATCATTAACACGATTTCTCTGATCATCCATGATAATTAAACCTGTAACCAAACAAAAAAAAGCAGAGCAAACAAAAAATCTTGGTAAATTATTATCAGAGAAACCACAAAAGCCTTTGTATCTTTGAGGTAATTACAGTTTTTGAAACTTATTTGAACAAAGAAATTCTCTGAAACTAGCGCAACGAAAAAGGGTTTTAAACCCTTTTAACGAGAAAGAAAGCCTTACGCGTTATTTGATGTTGACCGGAGAAATGAAGATTTGGAAAAGAAGAAGAGAAGACGAACAAACAAGAGGGGCTTTTAAAGAAGAAGGAAAAATAGGAAAGTATGACTTTTTTGACTCTCTTGATCTCATCCGCACCATATATTTATTTCTTTACAAAGTTTAACTTTTTTTAATCCTAATCCAAAACCTAGTTTCTCATAGTTTTATTCAACAGCCAACAAGTGGATTAAATATATAAACAACTTGAGGACATATATTAGTGATATTACCAAAGTTGTTTGTATATTTAGTCATACTTTATACCAAGATTTAAGTTAAGTTTGTAATTTAAGTGATAGGCTGGTTGTCAAAAAAAAAAAAAGTGATAGGCTGATGGTATATAAACATGGTCGGAAATATTGACAGTAACGATTTGTTTTGTCGTCACCAATTCATATACGTAAATTATCAAATTTAATATCTCCCAATTATGACACGACGGCATAATCATCGAGACGGTTAAAAACGAAATATCCCATGTCAAATCAAATCAGCGTTATCTTCTCCGAAAGTACGGAGTACGAAACTTACGTCTAATTGTAATCATGATATCCTTGATTTTTAGTCGAATTATAGAGATTCAGAGATAAGCTTTGTTGTTGTTTTCTTTGGTTTCATTTTGTTGTTTTGTTGATTGATAATTTTCTGGACAAATGAAACTCGATATTACTAATATGGTTGATCTCTTGTACACGTGAAACAAAACTCAAAACAAACGAGATATCGTTTCTCTAAAAAAAATTGTAATATGGGGATTTGATTTGTCTCTGTCTCATAACACAAATCACTAAGCTATATAGCATTAATCATATAAAATAGATTTTCAACGTACGAAAACTTGTTAAAATGAAAAACAAGTTTTTCATTCTAAGACACAAAAACACAAAAAAAAAAATGTCAAAGAGAACAAATGTAACAAAAAAAAATACAGTTGTACATCAAAATAATATTAGTATACATCTCACATATTCTATCACGATTTATGTTATCACGAATCTGGATTGAAACTACATATAACCAGCTTCATTTGTCTTTAAACGATGATATATATTTCATCTTAAATTTTATATAAATTCTCAGAATCATGATAAAATCATTGATAATCATATGTTAAAATTCCTCTTCTCTTCTATCAATCCTTGATCTCTCAAATTCTCAAAACTCCAATTCCTTCTCATTCCACTGCTCCTCACAAGCCTTGGTTGCTCGGGTCGGATCGGTCCACTGCTAGGACTTGAACCAATTGGACCACTTAGCCTAACGTGATGAATCTTTTTCACCTTCTTCATTTTCTGCGCTAGAGACGATCCTGACCGTCCAATCTTCTCATGCATCCTAGGACTCAAATTTCCTGACCAATTTCTCCCACCAACATGATCTCCACAATATGTTTTACCTAGAACATGGTTAATTTCGACTGTTGGTGGTCCGGGACCGGAGATATCAAACTCTTTGTTGGAATCTGTCCGTGGAAGAGCTTGACATGATAGACAATTTAGGCTCATAGTTTTTTTTTTTCGATATCCTTAGGACAATGGAGATCGATAATGAAAAAGAGAGATAAGGAAAAAGAAAGAGAGAGTTGGTTTTATTTGGTTAGTGATTTTATTTTAGTAAAGACTAACAAAAACTAATCTAATTTTGGAAAAAAATTGTATATTTGTAACTTCGATTTTTTGGTAACGTACGTTGTGTAAGTAGGTATCTCGTCTCACACGTTAATTAACAACTATTAACTTTATAGAAATGAGAAATTTTTTGCCTTAAGTCGAGAATTATCTACAAAATAACAAATTGTTGTAGGTTTGTAGCCATATTGCATAACAATTTTTAGTGTGAACGAATGAGTGAATTATGTCATAACATAGCCAAAGATGGCTAATATCTTTTAGAAAGGAGTCAACTCTATGGTACAATACGATTTCAAAAAAATTAATTTGACGAAAAAATAAAATAAAAAATATAAGCTGGTGCTTTTTGTTAGAACTCATCAATGGTGGAGAAAAGTAGTTTACGAGCGTCATCTTCTTATTTTATTTCGACGTGTATACAATAAAATGTTCTCATGTTAGATATTTTGTTTCAAAACCTAAATGAGATTAAATTTTGATAGTATGAGTTTAGGATGTCAAATTATCATTTGTGTAACTCTCACACGCACTACATTCGGGTTATGGCATGATGTCAACAATAATACAAACCACTACAATAGAATCCGGCCTATGTCTTTTTGTAAAAAAAGTCTTCATTTTCCCGTTATCTATTTTAATGAATTATAAAATCAGTCTTTACTAACATACACAAGAGTCATAGATAGATGATAGATCACACGGCTCTCTAAACATAGAGATATACTCAAAAACACAAACATGAGATGGACACTAAAAGGTTCTTACCCATAACTTTGAACGTCGAACGACCTGCTTTAAATAATTAAATCTATGTTTTTACTGTTGTGATATGTATTAAAATAAATATATACAACATATGACACATGTTTCCACATTTTTGGCACTATAAACAGTTTCATCATAAGTCATATCCCCTCAAAACAGATAAGAGCACCATCCCTCCCAAGACTCATTTAAGACCACTTATTTCCCTTTGTCTTTTGCTTATGTTACATTGCAATTTATATATATGAACCTTGATGGTGTAAAAGGCTAAAAGCTAACCCAAAAGTTTTGCATACATAGTGAAAACTGATTTCTAATTGACTAATTGTACACAAAATTTCATTCATAGAACCAAAAAACTTCAATAGATTTTTTCTCACTTTAATCTTACTCCATACATAACATATACAAGTACAACCAAAGTTTTCTTTATTTTACTACCTCTCTCTGGTCTCCAACTTCGATCTCACTTACAGGCTTATGAAAACACTAAACTAAGAACTAAACAAGTTCTCCTAATGAACAACATTGATTAATAACATGAAGCTGGCGATGCAAAACGAGTACTTACTAATTTACAGAGAGATCTACTTGCGAAAAGACCGAACATTACCAGCTAATTTTGATCACTTCTAATCAATGGAAACATTAGTTTCATCTCTTGAAGAGTCGGCTTTGTTCAATTGTCTTCTCCAACTTTCGACATTAAAGCAAGCTTGAGCTGATCATGATTGAAAAACTGGCTTCCCATCTTCACAGTAGCTTGTTGAATCATCAAATCATTCACCACGGATAAACTAGCGTGATTCACTTCCAAATCCAATTCCTTAAGCGCTTCCATGAATCTCGCACCAGGATGATTCTTCTTGCTGCATTGTACACGTATCATCACATCCCAACCTATGATCTTCACATCAATCTCCATTTCTATAGAACTCGCCGAATCTTGATTCGAACATTTTCGTTCTTTCACTCTCGACCCGCCGCTTTTCCCGTTTCCTTCCTTGCTCATCCCATCTAACTGCTTCTGAATCTCTTCTTTATCGGATTCCGCTTGTTGCAGCTTCGATTTCAGCTCGTTGATATACGAAATGGCGTCTCCAAGAAGAGAAGCTTTGTCCATTTTCGAAACGTTGGGAACCACAGCTCTCAAAGAGTAGAATCTCTGGTTTAGCTTCTCTCTTCTCTGTCTCTCTGCTTCTACGTGATTCAATGGCTCTTCTCTCCCGTTCGCCGGTTTTCTTCCCCGTTTCCTCGGTTTCTTCTCCGGTTCAACAACAATCGCTTCCTTAACCACCGATGCTTCGAGGTCGGAATGATCCGAGTCGCCGGATTTCGCGGCGGATCGAACCACGGTGCTGAAAGAAAGCATTCCTTCGTCGTTGTTACTCCCTTTCGAAACAGGAGATCTCCTCTTGTTGCTCTCCTCCGCCATAAAACTTAGGGTTTCACTCGATTTCATCATCCGCGACGACCCATCAGGAAAGTTCCCGTTTTGATTCAACCCAGAGCTCGAGAAGTTCAAATCCTGCTCTACAAGCGACGGATTCTGCGGATTCTGTCTAGGGTTTTCAATCGAGCTCTCGTTCTTTTCAAGCTTCGAAATCTGATGAGAATCGGATTTGGAATTTGAATTGGAATTACTGTTGTGTATCGCCGGAGTTACCTGACCCGATTCGACTCCGGTGGTGGTCGGTTCGCTGATCCACAAAGCTGGATCGTTCTCTCCTTGATCAGGATTCAGATCTAACCCCCAAGAACAAGCTTCTCCACCATTACCGTTGTTGAAATTGAAGAGACTATTGACTTTATCCATCAGATCTGAGCTTTGGCTTATCACTTCCGAAGAACCAAGCTCAACGACGCCGTTTTCCGCCGCGATACACACCATCGTCTGTAACCCGTATATCTGACCTTGATGAGCTCGTTCACAACCCGACCCGGTTAAAGCACCCGACCCGGATAACCAAATCACGCGAGAGTTTAATAAGGATTCTCCGGGAAGCCCAACACCGTTCGCGAAGCTCTGTGTCATCGAGACCAAGAAGAACCACTCAGTATCGGTGACTTCTTCGTCGTTTGCTTCATCGGAAACTCCGATTCCGCCGGAGATTAACGAGTTAAGCTCACGGATCACTCTTTTCCGATGCTCTTGCTCCGCCGGATTCGAACTCGAGCTCTTCTTTTTCTTGTCTTTGTCTTCTTCTCCTCTGTAGTAACCATCTCCCCAGCCGAGAATCAATGTGTTATCTCCGGTGGGAGAATCGAAATCGTGTGAGATCTGCCAGAAGATCGCGTAAGTCCAGTTTTCTTCTGCGGATTCGATTAAAGCTTGGAGACGTTGTTGGAGAGTGTCTTCGTTAAATTGAGAAAGTGGAGGAGGAGGAGGAAGAGATGGTTGTGGCCAGAGCGTTGAGTGATTTGTTCCGATGAAAGCTTCCATCGGCGCAGACGCGTTATCGTCGGTGGCCGTTGACTGGTTGAGGAAATAGTCGTTCATGTGAGCATACGATGGAGATAAGATGGAGGAATATTTCCGGTGAAAGTTGAAGACTTTTCCGGTCTGAAGAGAGAGACAGAGAGAGGTGACGTGTTGGAGGAAAATGGAAAGAGGAAAAGCTAAGCAAATGGCGTTTAGTGATTGTTTGGAGAGGATTCTTGTAGTATTTTAATTTTTTTTTTTAACAAAGTAATGTAAATAATTGGTTTTTTTTTTATAAAAGAATCTCATAATATGAGAGTTGCAATATATAATATGACATAAAATAAGTTATAATATAAGATCTAGTGTCTAATTAATATTTACGAAAACGTAATATTACGAACTGAATATTTTGGTCCGTGCCAAAAGCAGTTAAGATATTTATGTCCGTATTGATATGCTTGGAACACACTGTTTTGTACACAAAATATTATTAATATGTTTGTGATCCATAATGTGTCACAAAATTATTTATTTTGTTATATTATTTTATCAAAATAATGATCCAGAATAAGTGGCGGCAAAACTATTAATTTCGTAAGAAAATTAACTGAAATAAGAACTAATAAATAATTCACCAATGAATCGATATCTGATTTGAAATTTACGATTTGTATACAAACAATTTTAGTCACGGCTGATCTCGCAACAATTTATTCTATGCTTCCTCAGATTTTGTGGTGCGAGTTTTCCCAGTATACAAAACAAATGATTTAATTAATCACGACCAAAAAAAAAAATGATTTAATTAATGAAAACGATTTTTCTCTCATTTAAAGTCATAGTCGGATTAAAATAAATTGGAACTACCTTGTGTAGCCCACTTTAATTGTTTGGGTCCTGACTAGGCCTAGTCAAGTCTGTTTTTTTCATGATTTTCTCGCCATTACTAACATTTACGTTTATAAAAATCTTGATAACTTTGTCATATAGCAGATATATATAGTCTTCTTTTAACTGCATTCTTTTATGCCCAACAGTTTGAAATTTTACCATTTTGCTATACTTTTTTTTTTTTTTGAAAAATGAGTTTTGCTAAAAACTTTCATGAAAGCATGACCAACCTATCATTTTTTAAAAGTTACATAAGATTGACAATGAAATTACACAGATATTGACAGCCATTAATAAAATATGATATCCACGAAAAAGAAGAAAAGTATTCAGTGAAAAGGACAATAATACACAATATCAAATTGTTAATCACGGTGGCTAAATATTTGCACCACAAAAAAAAAATATTAACGGTGGCTAAAATGCCCCACTTCACGTGTTTCTCGTGAATGATGTAACTTACCATAAACTTCAGACCCACTAATCATATAGTAACACCATATGATTTTAAATATAACATATTAAATTATTTGTACTCCTTTGGCCAGTTTTGCAAGGCGTAATCATGTCACTAAACACAATATATCAAGTAAATTTTTGTTTTTAGAGAATTAGATGTGATAAACTCTATTAATAACTTAGTCTGCGCTGGTCACACATTCACTTTTTGGATTTTATAAACAGTTTATATGTTCTTTTATTTTATTTTATTTTGGTAAAAAATTAAGTTTTATACCATTTTTAGATTTTTTACAGCAAAGAAAGATACAACAAAGGAAAACAGATTAACCCAAAAAACTACAAAAATTTACGAAAACAACAAGAATATTGCAGAAGTAGCTAAGAAAATAGAGTCGGCTAGGAAGATGCGAAAGTTAAAACCCGAACAAATTTAGTCGAGAAAACACCTAATCCACGTAAAAAACGGGGACCATGCATTTTTGCCGCAGCTCAAAGAACTAGAGTTCTCATCGTTGTTGCCACGAGCCTCCTCCCGAGTCCGTCCTCAAAACTTTTGGAAGGAAAACCTACATCTTCTCCGAAAACAAACGCATTATCCGGTAAATGTTATGGACTAACTTGCAATTGGCGATAAGGGAGTCCGAGGAGCTATCTGAAAGTCGCCTCCGACTGCCATTCCTGCAAAACCAAGGTCTCCAAAGGAACCAACTCCCACAATTGCAAGGTAACCATAACAACATACTGGCGCTTCCGATTATGATGTTTTTTTTAAATTTACATCATAATCTATAGTTTTTCTCTTTTAACATAGCTTTTAAACAAACATTTTTGTACATACAACGAAATGGATAAGATCAAATTATCTTTAGCAGTTATGAGTTTCGAAAGAATTTAAACGATAATTATAGTATAATTTTTAAGATTAGAGATTAAATTAAATCCTGCATTTAAAATTTTGTGAATTTCAACGAATTTTATGACAATATTTATTTACGGTTTAGATTTTGAAGGTTACTATTTAAATTTTGTGATTAAAAGTTTAAATATAAATAAATTATAATTACAATGAGAAAGATGCAAAAATTTTCTACGGCATAAAATCATAAACATATGAAAATTTTATAAAAATTTGTGAAAACATTGGAAAACTTACGATGATTCCAGAAAAGTTATTTGAGAATGTGATTTTCTTGAAAAAATATTTATATAACAAGAAGAAAAAAAAACAATTCCTGTTATATTTTGAAGAAATGTCTGAAAACAATGTATGTTGAACTTACCAACACCAACTTTCCACTTGTTTAGTGGGCCATTTTCTTTTAACTACAGGTAAGGAATAATTCAAAAATGGGCTTCTTTACTATTGGGCCAGATAAGTTCCTTTGAGTTTAATATCCGCTAATCTAATGTTACGCAACAACAAAACGTCTAAAATAAATTAACTTTACAGGTTCTGGAAGAAAGAAAAGGAAAAGGAAAAAAACAAAAACCCCCAAAAATAATTTCTCTGCTTTGAAAGAGTTTGATCCATTGTCACTACTGTCTTAGATTTTCCAGATTCTGGGTAGCTTCTTTTATCTGTAAAAATTTCTATTCTCTCATTCGATTTGCAATCAGCGATGGCGACTGAGAATCACACGGACAAGAATGTTGTTTTCAGAAAGCTAAAAGCAAAATCCGATAACAAGGTTAGGTTTCTCCATTTCCTCCGTACGTTTTTTTTTTATTTGAAGATTTTGAATTCGAATTTATGTGATTTCGATCAGATCTGAAGCTGATTCGACCTAATCTCCGATTGATTTCTGGTTTTGCTTGTTTTTTTTTTAAAAGGTGTGCTTCGATTGTAGTGCGAAGAATCCAACATGGGCTTCGGTTACTTACGGTGTTTTTCTATGCATCGATTGTTCAGCTGTTCATCGAAGTCTCGGTGTTCATATTAGCTTCGTGAGGTAAATCTTTCGATTCTGAGGAACACAAATTTTAGAAAAATCCAGTGTTTGATCAAAATCTCTAGGGTTAATTCTGGTGTAGCAAATTTAGCTTCTGACTAGGGTTTAAGCTATGATTATTCAACTTATGCAAGACGATGTTGACCTGTTTTTGTCCCTTTGACCATCCTATTTATAGCATTTTCACTTTGTTGTAGATCTTTTGGTTGATTATAAGATCACAATCCCGATAAGTATGGACCTTTGTTGATTTTTTTCTTGAGATCATATTGATTCAAATTTTCATTACTTTAGCTTCTTTTTTTTTTAAAAAAAAGAGAAAATTTTGATGTATGTAGGTCGACGAACTTAGACTCGTGGAGTCCTGAGCAGCTAAGAACAATGATGTTTGGTGGGAACAACCGAGCTCAGGTGTTTTTCAAGCAACATGGATGGAATGACGGTGGAAAAATCGAGGCTAAGTATACTTCAAGAGCTGCTGATTTGTATAGACAAACTCTCGCTAAGGAAGTTGCTAAAGCCATGGCCGAAGAATCTAGTTTATCTTCATCATCCTCTGTTGCTACTTCTCAGCCAGCGGAGTCATCTAATAACGGGTTTTCTTCTGAACCTCCAACAAAAGAGAGTCCTCCGGTTAAGCAAGAAGCAACTGGTGTCTCCTCTTCACCAAAAGCTCCTCAGGCAGCTGTGGCGAGTACGTTTAAGAAACCTCTTGTTCCGAGAAAGACAGGGAAGACTGGTGGTCTTGGTGCTCGTAAGCTTACTACGAAGGTAAAGATTTCATATTCTCAAGAGTTAAAGTGTGGATCTTTTTTCTTTGTTTTGATTATGATTAGTGTGTATTGCTATGCAGCCAAAAGAAAACCTCTATGAGCAGAAGCCCGAAGAGCCTGTACCGGTGATTCCTGCTGCCTCTTCGACTCACAACACATCATCAGCGGGATCATCATTTGCCTCTCGGTTTGAGTATTTTGATGACGAGCAATCAGGTGGGCTAAGTGGTACACGCTTGCTTAGCCATGTCGCTCCACCAAAGTCGTCGAATTTCTTTAATGACTTTGGAATGGACAGTGCTTTCCCCAAGAAATCAAGCTCAAGCTCATCCAAAGTTCAAGTAAGAAGGCTGCATTTTCAAACAGAACCCAAGAAAGAAATAGATTTCAATTTACTAACTATTTTCTTACCTAGGTTGAAGACACGGATGAAGCAAGAAAGAAGTTTTCAAATGCAAAATCGATTTCCTCTGCTCAGTTTTTCGGGAATCAGAACAGAGATGCCGATTTGGATTCAAAAGCTACGCTTCAGAAGTTCTCGGTATTGTCACAAACCAATCAAACTCTGTATAAGTCTTATCAAGTGTCATTGTTCATACCTAATGGGATTGCAAAACCAACAGGGCTCATCAGCTATTTCAAGTTCTGATCTTTTTGGACGCGGACAAGATGATTCCAACATCGATATCACAGCGAGTGATCTGGTGAACCGAATTTCTTTCCAGGTAAAATTCTTGGCAAAAATCGAATTCTTCAGGTTTTGTACTTAACTCTTTCCTTGATTTGACTTTGTTTCCCCACGACAGGCGCAGCAAGATATGTCATCTCTTGTGAACATAGCGGAAGAAACGACAAAGAAGCTGGGTACATTGGCCTCCGGTATATTCAGTGATCTCCAGGATAGAATGCTGTAAGAAACAGACAAAGATCTTGCCTTTTCATTTACAGAGAGAGAAAAGCCTTTCATTTGCTTCTCTTAGATGTAATGTAACACATTGTCGGCTATAAAAGTAAAAGACAAAGCTTTTTTTGGTTTCTGTTCTGCAGCAATCTAAGATGTAAAATGACACTTATATTCCCCAAACTCAAATATATTTGACAATTGCGTTTGCAACTATAACCAATGATGTTAAAAGATAACACGTAAATGATGTTAAGAACTTCTTTCTTTGCTGTCTCGTTTTGTGTGTGAGGCAGATTTCTTGATGATTGCTTTTTAGGGTTTAAGTAACTTATGAGTATATTAATCATACATTTGGATTAGAGTCGATCATGAGCTCTTCAGGCATCGACTAATTTGTAACAGACTGCTATCGTCTTCATGTTTTTGTAGTGATTTTCTTGAAATAAACATATAATGCTCTATCACCAAAAGCTTACACAAACCCAAGATTACCTGACGTCTAGTGTTAAAAAGCAAAAGCCTTTCTCAGGACATTGGGAGCTCCGGTGGGATTTTTCTGATCTGCCAAAAGAGACGACGCTATTGGTTCTCAGGACATTCTCACAAACCATTATGTGGACTGAATACGTCGGAATATGACAATTATTTTAATGAAATATAATTTTATTCAACGTAAGGTTATTCAAACGTTAGACTTGTGCAAAGACAAATAAAAACATTAGTTGCTATACTATACATTAAATTTGATCTAGATTTTAGAAAAAAAATTAGAGTACTTGATGTGTTTATAAATTAATTGGATAAAGATAAAAAATAAAGTTCGTAAAACAAACATAGCAAAATAGTAAATTAATAAAACAAGTTAGCAGTAAAGTAAATTTCTTTCCTTCATCATATAATTAAAGCGAAAATTTTTTAATTATAGATTAGAAATCAAATATGAAAATCTGATTTTGTCAATTAAAAAACGGTTACCCTTAATCAAAAAGTCAATTAAAAAACGGTTTAAGAAGGAAAAAAAATAATCGGTCAAAGATTGTCAAAGTCAAAATCCAATGCGAACCATGGTTGAGTTAATCATACTGTAATAGTGTAATTGTATAAAGTAAACAAATCTAACAACGTTTTAATTTGAGTTTACAGCTTAGTCTTGAAAACCTAAAAAAAATGGCGGCATAATTTCCCTCCTAATTCAAACCCTTTTTATTGACTCACTCCCAGCTTCCCTCCAAATCGATTCGCTCGTTTCCAAAATCCTTTCCCTTTTCGGTATTTTGCTCTTAAATTTCGAAAATTTCACCAAGTTTTGGAGCCAAATTCGAAAATTTCTCCTTCCATTACTTACGGATCGATCTACGACAAGTCGGCGACTTCTCCCAAAACTAAACCCTAGCTTCTTCTTCTTCTTCTTCTTCACTTTCTTCAGAGAAATCGATCTGGGTTCGTTGTTAATGGCGCCATTTCTCAATTCGAGTGATACTGATCCACCGCCGTCGCCTAAAATCGAAAACCCCGTCGACACCCTAGACGAGTCTTCACCTACCGCGCCGATTCGAGCTCTCGTTGCTCACTCTCTCGCTCTCTCGTCACCGATTCGCCAGATTCAGAATCAGCCTTCTTCTCCGGCGAAACCCTTAACCGAGATCCAAAACCCAGATGAATCTTCCTCTTCTCCTTCGCATAAAACCCTGGTTACGCCTCCTTCAGTCGGTATAGAGGAAAGCGAGTGCAGAGACTCTCAAATCGTGCCGCAATCTCAGATTTCGCCTGACGACAACAAAATTCTCCAAACCGCGAGCACTTCATACTCCCTTGACGCCAACATAGACTCGTACAATCGCTCACCAAAGAGATTCATATCGGATTTTGACTATCAAAGCGACGATGATCTCAAAATTGGGTCCACAAAACCTGGAGAATTCTCATGGTCGTCTCCGAAGAATGAACCCACCGGTGTTGTATGTTCCCTTCTCCTCTTAGATTATAATTTTTCGTCAATTCTAGGGTTCATCCAAAAATTGAGTGATTTGATGTTTTCAAACAATTTCTTCAGGGTGCTGGATTAGATAATTCAGGCAACACTTGCTTCATAGCTTCAGTGTTGCAGTGCTTCACTCATACTGTGCCCCTTATCGAGAGTCTCCGCTCATACAAACATCAAGTCCCTTGCAACTGTAAGACTACTGATTTACGCCGTTTTATGATCTGATAATAGTTGGTGCCCTTGATCGTTCATAGTCTTAGTCTTAGAGTTCATTTGGATTAGCTTTACGCCGTTTTATGATCTGATAATAGTTGGTGCCCTTGATCGTTCATAGTCTTAGTCTTAGAGTTCATTTGGATTAGCTTTACGCCGGTTTATGTTTTGATTTTAGTTGTTGCTTTGATTGTTCATAGTCTTAATCTTAAAGCTCATCTGAATTTCATTTATGCCGTTTTATGGTCTGATTTGAGTTGTTGCCTGGATTGTTCATACTTGATCTTATAGCTCTGCTTTACGCCGTTTTGTGGTCTGATTTGAGTTGGTGCCTTGATTGTTCATAGTCTTAATCTTATAGCTCATTTGGATTTTTCAGGTGGCAATGAGAAGTTTTGTGTTCTTCAGGCTCTCCGAGAGCACATTGAGCTTGCTCTGAGGTCTTCGGGAGATTCTTTAAGGATTGATTGGTTTCGTGATAATCTAAATTGTATCCTTCTCAACCCTTAAGATTTTTTGTTTGTTCTGTTTTGTTGCGTAATTGTGTTTGAGATTTCTTCATTATGAATGTTTTATCCTTAAAACCATTATAGATTTCTCGCCGGACTTTCAAATTAACAACCAAGAAGACGCTCATGAGTTTCTACAGTCGTTTCTGGATAAGTTAGAGAGATGTTGTTTGGATCGTAGAGATAAGCCTGGCTCTGTCTCTTCTCAAGATGGTAACATTGTTGACCATGTCTTTGGTGGGCGTCTCGTGAGTAAGGTAAGAAATGTTCACTCGTTTACCGAACTATATTTATCTAGTTTTGATTTGAAATAGTTTCCATATATCTATTTATATGTGACTCTTGGAAATATGTTTTATATCTTCCTTTTTCAGCTTCATTGTTGCAACTGCAATTCCATTTCCGACACATTTGAGCCTTCACTTGGATGGAGTCTAGAAATTGAAGATGTCGATAACCTTAGTAGCGCATTAGAGTCCTTTACACATGTGGAAAAACTCGAGGACCAATTTACATGTGATAACTGTAAGGAGAAAGTCTCAAAGGAGAAGCAACTTAAGCTTGATAAGTTGCCGCTGGTTGCTACTTTCCATCTGAAGAGATTCAAGAATGATGGACTTTTTATGGAGAAGATCTTCAAGCATGTGGAGTTCCCTTTGGAGTTGGATTTGCTCCCTTACATGAGCAGTAACGAAAATCCTGAAGTAAGTGAAATTTTAACAGACCTTTTTGTTCTGTAAAATCTAAGAGATTTTCAAGTAATAACATTCATTTATGTTCTTATTTTGTTTCTTCAGGTTTCTACAAAATACCTTCTTTATGCCATGGTGGAGCATCTTGGGAGTGGGGTATCTTTTGGTCATTACTCATCATATGTAAGATCAGCTCCTGGGACATGGCATCATTTTGATGACTCAAAGGTAATATATAAGATATAAACAATGTTTTTCAGTTGATTTGTGTGGTTTAGTTATGTGTAGACTTATCTGCAAAGTTTCAGTCAGATGATCAATGCAACCTTTTCTTGGCAGGTCAGGAAAATCAGCGAAGAATATGTTCTGTCAAAGCATGCATACATGTTGTTTTATGCAAGAGAAGGAACACCATGGTTTTCTAGTGCTTTCGAAGAGCTGAAAACACTCTTTGAAGCTACTCCGTTAAATTTCTCGCCAAAGTCAGTGCTTGAGACAACCTGCAGAGAGGAGTGTGTCAGTCACCACAATGCTGGTAATTCCAACAAAGCCTGTGACGACTTGCCAGGAGTATCGATCCCGGGTGAAAATAACTCAGATTTCCGTTGTGACGAGCCACAAGAAGACGTGTTTCATTCAGCTGAGTCTAGTTGCGATGATGACCCTTTCATGTTTGATACTTTCGAGTCACCTAAGGCTGATGGTTTTGAGAAACCATTTGCTGGGACCTCTCAACAAGAAAAACCTAATGTATATCCAGCCGGCAACATAGCTACAATCGATGAGGTCGCTTCTGTGCCTGTTCTCAAAACTCAAGAGCAAGCCTCGTCTCCAAAACGGAAAGGTACGATCTCTTACTATGTGTTTTTGATAGCTTACTTGTGGAGGATACTAAAAAAGATAGGATCTTCTGATATATTTCAGAACAAGTATTCTCCTTTACTAGCTTTTTGAGTCACTGATTACAGGAAGAATCAATGATCAATGGGGAAAATAGAACTTATGTTAAGGCTTTGCTCTTCTTGTTTTGTGTGATACTATGTACAGCTGACGAGAGAGCTACCATTGGTGAAGCTTATCGGCCTAAGCTCAAGATTCAAAGACAAAATTCCCTTCCAAAACGCCAAGGTACTATACTCTACTAATTTGTTTTGATACCATTAGTCTCAACTATAGTAAACAAGTGGAAGAGATACTAAGTAAGATATGAGAAACAATGAAAGATCCTGAGTCGAGTGTGTGCAATTTTGTAACAGGAACCTTTAAGATCCAACGTGATCATTTGCAAAAGAAGAATAGCAGAGAAGAAACTCTTAAAACAAAACCGTCTAAAAGAATTGTTGCTGCAGATCCTAGGGAGAAAGATTGTGCTCTTTCATATCTCAGTAGGATATCTACGCATCGCTCTCGGATGCTCGCTGCAGCTATAGACGTTTCGGTCAAGGAAAAGAAAGTCTCTAACCTCAAAAGACCGACGATGGGTCTTCACAGGAATCTCTCTGAACCTGCAATGTAATGAAAATATGGGTAATAAAAAAATAAATCCATTCAAGTTTCTTGTTGCTTTAAAGAGTTAGTTAGAGTAAATGAAGATTTCTTCTTTTGTTTTGTGTTTTGGGCGTTTCTTGTGTTTATATCACTCTGATCAAATTTTGTTTTGAAGCTTAAACCAAAAATCTAAGGGGTATATTTTTATAACATTTGCTCTAGAGATTAATGCTTTGTAATGAAATAACAATAAGACAATAAATATTCAATTATTAGAAAATATAAACTTCAATAATGGATGCAAAATGTTTCAAATAGGCATATTAATTTGTATACCCCTCCACAAATCATCTTTATTTTTCAGCCTCTTTTTGGTTGATCAGAAGTTGGTTTCTTCATGGTGCATAGCCTCCACCACCGTGTCCACCGCCTGAACCACCACCGCCACCGTAAGCACCTCCATGTTCACCACCATAACCACCACCTCCACCTGAGCCTCCTCCAGCACCACCGCCATATCCTCCAGCTGCACCACCATAACCACCTCCTTCACCGCCACCACTTCCATATCCACCTCCATGTGCTCCTCCACCGTAAGCTCCTCCACCACTTCCTCCACCGCCACCGCCTCCATACCATCCTCCGGCTCCACCTGAACCTCCTCCAGCTCCTCCTCCTTCGCCGCCTCCGTAAGCACCACCATGAGACCCTCCAGCTGATCCTCCACCACCTCCATGACCACCTCCGCC